TGATGCTGTCTAACCCACATTCTTCTACTTTATCTAGTAGTAGGTTATGGTCTATCTTATCAAATGCCTTACTGAAATCCAAGTAAACTATATTGACGGCATTCCTCTGGTCCACTAATTTTGTCACATTATCAACATGAATATAGGCAGGATTATCAACATGAATACAGGAACATGATTACAGGCTTCCAAGTTAAATTTTGCTTTTCAAATTCATTTGGAATTCTGTACCTGTTTCCTTTTGAGAAAGGCTACAGCATCCCACTTCTATATCTTTGACAAAAAATGTGCAGTCATATCTGTTACATGTCTAGGTCAAGAGGACTTTATCTTTTACCTATATGTCCCATTTTCTACCAGCAAAAAAGTTCCCGAGCAAAGGTGAGGAAGCAAATGGTTTTATGGTCTCAAAATACTTATACAACTATCATAATATTTTGTGCCTATGTGGATAATTGGATAGAGATATCCACTGCTAGTGTAAAGCCATTATCAAATGTAATAGCTCCTTTGGCCCTTCGATTGACAGTAAAATGTTATGATCAATATTATGCAAATCTCTGTAATGATCTAGTTGTAAAGGAAAAGGTTCCCCCGCACATGCATGCTAGTTGTTTCCGGCTCTATGGGCGGTGCTCATCTCCTATTCTAAGTCAAAGAGCCAGTGCTGTCCAAAGACTTCTCTGTGGTTATGTGGCTGGCATGACTAAATGCCGAAGGCGCACGGGGTGCTGTTATCTTCCCACCAAGGTGGTCTCTATTTTTCTACTTGCATTTCGAACTGCTAGGTTGGCAGAAGCTTGGACAAGTAATAGTAGCTCACTCTGTTATACGGCACTAGGAATTCGAACCGCTGACAAATTTTAGTCACTGAGCCACTGCGTTCCCCTTCAAAATTCCACTGGATCCAAATTCCGCAATAAATAAAGGGAATAAATTGCATGACAACAATTTCTCACTGTGTACCACAGCTAATACTATTGTTTCTGATTAATATTATAGTTTACAAGTGGCCTCATCTCCTAACATATATTTTTTTTTGGGGGGGGGACGGACAGACCTGTCCCAAAGATTTCTAAATGAAACCAACATTTCCATGAACATTTTATAAAAGAGCATTGAAAACCTGTGATGCCATCAAAGCAATGACTGGAGCTGAATTAGTTAACATTTGGTTGCAGGAAACTCCTGTTTTGCTTGTTGGAAGATACTCAAACAAGGAAGCTGCTTGCTGCCACACCTACCTCGCAAGAGAGCAGTCAGTCCTTTGACCTGTGATGAGAAAAATGAAAACAAATTATGTTTTTAATCAGAGGGGAAAAATTTGCAGGATAAGCAGGCATGTGAAAAAATTTGAAAGGGAACTGGAAGAAACTATTATGGGAGGGATGATTCCCCTCCAGAGCAGTCATTTTGATCAAGATGATCAACAGCAAATCATAAAATATGGAGTTCTTGTGCTCTGAGCTTGCTCTTCTAGTTTTAGTGGAGATGTGGTAGAGTAAATAGGGCAAATTATTACATATAAATAGGCAGCAAACATCACCCCTACTCATACCTATGTTACCTAGTTGAATAATGAAAGACAACTATAAAGAAAGTTCAGACAACATAAAAATCTCAAAAGTTCAACCACGAGCTACTAATATTCTCTTCTACTAGATAGGGAAATGTACAAAACAGTTCTTAGCTATCTGAGGACTTGCCTTGTTCTTTAGACACTGATTTGCTGTATTCCTGCTAGAAATGTTAAAATGTCACAAGAAGGCATGGCAGGAAGTATGGCATTTCTTTATCTTTCTCAGCAAGAGATGACTACTTTTCAGAAATCACTCAGAAAATGTGCACCACATTTTTAGATTTATTAGCATGGAATGTTCTATCCAATCTGGTCATGCTGGCTGTGGGTTAACTGATCTTTCACGCCATACCTCTGGAGAGCTGCTGGTTACTCAACAAGGTACAATGCACTAGCACACTAGCTAGTTCAGAAGTCCATGGTTTTATTATTTCCTGTCTTTTTATTTATTTATTTTTAAACCCACAAATATTTCAAATGAGGAAAAAAGACACCAAACTGCAATGCCTGGGGCATTATGAGCAATATTTAAAAGGATCTCAACTTACAGTAATAGAGAAGACACGTGTCATTTGACAGATAACAAAACTAAGATAGCTTTCTCTATTGCAATGGTATTGATTTATACCAGGAATAGTTTTCCCCCAAGATCAGAAATGAAATGAATCAAAGACAGATAATTGTTAATCATGGACAATAAATAACACATTTTAAACAATCACTTTCCCACTTTCAGTGGAAAAACTTAATTATTCAAAGCAGTTCATATTTTATAACAACATTATACTAAACTAGAGTTTTTTGCCATCTGCCCATTTCCATTACAGAATATTAATATGTATATAACTACATGGCTTTAACAACATCAAAAGGCTTTAGTATTAAATTAACAAATGCAGGTAAAAGATGGGAAATAATTATTTGTTACCAAAAGACCTGCTGATATTTTCTATTAATGGAACCTGCCATGTCCAGAGTAAAATAATTTACAAGTCGGAAATAGAAGGGGACAGAGAAAACAAATCAATATTGTTTTGCCCCAAAGCTAGATAGCCAGTCGTATTTTGCAGTCTGTCAAGCAATCGCTAACAAAGAAACAATGCCAAAGATTTCAAGCAAGCAGTTTCTGGTCCGACAACAGTGGTTAAGATTAACATCTAAACCCTCTTCAATTTATAGCATTTTGCTTCAGATTGGAAAGCAGTGTATTCTTCTAACTTTCTTGCCCACCCAGATAATTGTATTTATCTCTTTTTAAATAGCTTAGATTTGGGACTGGGATCTTTGTGAGCAATGTGAATTCACAAAAGCTTCACTGAGTACCAGAAAAAGGAGGTTTTCTGATTTATGAAATCAGGCAAAAAATACCTTCAGTGTTTCTGATGCTCTCCCAGCAGGGAGTCAGTTAAAGGGGCAAGCAGTTAAGAGAAGCAGTATGCTAGAATGCAGAAATCAGCAATGACTCAAGAATGTGGTTTGTCACAGGGTCAGCTTGAGTATTATATGGTGATACTCAAAGGGAGGGAAAATGCTCAAAGGAAATAACCTTTCTGACTTGTTTTACTTTACATGATAGCTGAATAATTTCTTTAACTGAAAAATCTTTTTTTAAAATTATGTATACTGCTTCCTTTGACTTCCAGTGGGATGAAGAACAATTTTGGTTATGTTTTTGGTTAAAAATAACAAATAATTTCATCCAATAATTTGGGTATTCAGACCACAGAGCCCTTTCCGAGTCATTTGCATTACTTCGCCTAGACTTCTTCACAGTCTGAAGAAATAAAAATGTCACGTTTCTATAATAATTCCCCAAATATAAATTATATACTCAAAACTGCCTGTTCTTGGCCAGGGGATCTCAGCCACATGGCTCAGGAAAAGATTTTATAAGAATCAAAGAAAGTTCTGCAAAATATTGGTTCATTACAGTTTAGAATAAATTTTGTGATTTATATTTTCTCTCCAAGGCCTTGAATACTTAAGTGGAACCAGATCAATATCAAGAGCTACTTTATTGTTTGGAGTTGATTCGTGCAGTTAAATTAAAAGGGAAAGCCATTCTGCCAACTTATTTAGTTTTTCTATCCTTGCTCTTTTCAGATTATGAAACGGCATCTTTGATTTGATCATTGGCACCAGACAATTAATTCCAGCAATAACCACTGGTAATCCATTCATTTTATTAAAGCGCCAATAGGCTATAGGCATCCCAAAGTACTTTTTAATTCTACTTGAAAACACCCAGTTTTCCTGTGTGACTAAAAATCCATACAGACATGGGAAGCAACCTAGTCCAACAATAAAAGTGCTTCCCTAATGACAGAATATTTGCACACCATGAGAAAAAAAAATGATTAATTGCAAGAATTAACCTAATTTGATTCTGCAGATATGCTGAAATGGGAGGGGAGAGAAAATGGTTTCACTTAAACAAATAGATGTTGCACATTATTGGCTCATTAAGCACTTCTCTTTTGCCATTACTTAAGCAGCACTGCAGGGATGGAATAATAAATCCATAAAACATGACTTTGTCCACTTAGCATTGATAATCCAAGATTGTTATGCTCAGTCAGCTGCCTAATTTAGTAATTACAAAGGCTGGGCTGACACAGTGACAAGCAATTCTCATGCTTACTTTCTCCCAAAGTCTTCTGGAGGAGGTCATGCTTGGCCTGGAGCTTGGTGATGAGATTCCTCCCTTCCAGATATTCCTTCAATTTCTAAAAGAAGAAAGAAAAATATCTTTGAAGAATTAAAATTTATTTCTCAAATATTTGAGAGCAATAAACCAAGGAATCAGAAAAACTCAAAAAGACTGCTGCCATGTTCCATTTGAAAACTATTATGTAAGAAATAATTTGGAACAAATCAACCACCATGTTTGTTGTGAAATAACTAAAACCAATATTATTTAAGTTTTTCAATCAGAGATCCCTTGATAGTACAGTAGTGTAAGCAAACCTTCATGGATCAGATCAGAGATGGCAGTGTTGCTTCATGTAAGAACCAATCAACACTATTAACCTTAATTTCTCTCCTTCATTGAATGATTTCATATTCTACTCTTTTCTCTGCCTTGTTCTATGGCTTTTAAAATATGATTTATAATATATTCAGACTAAGAATGGTAAAGTATACAGGTGTAACTCCATTAATAATAAAACAAAGATATTTTTGTATGCTGACTGAATCCCCCCCCCCTTTAAAGAGTCCCATGTAATCCAAATGAAACATACAATGCTTTAAAAGAAACTATATATAATTCATGGAATATCATATATCACATGGATATTTGAGACTAAAAACCCTCTCAGATCAGTGAACATTCATCTAGTCCAGCATTCAATTAGCACTCAATTGTTTTTGGAAGGACATAAACTGTAGTTGCTATTCAATAGTCAAAGATATGCTGACTATAAATATAGGGTTGCCCTGATACCCCAAAGGTGCAGAGCTTCCAGTGTGATTTTTGTCATTTTGGGGGAAGTAGTGAGTTCCTGTGGATGTTGCTGGATCTGTCCTCTCTTTGCATTTTGTATAATTTGTGAGATGATATTCTTAACAAGTAACATAAACAGATACAAGTGATTTTATTTTCTTGTTATATTTGTATACTACCAAAACTTGCTGTTCAAATAGATCTTCAACAATAAAAACATAAACGAATAAATTTTAAAACAATCAATTATGAATATAATAACCTCAGGCACTTTTACTGTAATGCACAATATTACTTCAACAGTAAATGAAATAGTTACTATGGAAAATATCATCATTTTAACAATTTATCAAAGGATGTCTGGGGGAGGCAATTCCAGAAAATGAAATGTTGTCTATAGTTTCCATCAATCTCACCTGTGATAAATATGGGATTTTCAGCACCATAACTAAGACAAATATATTTGGCAGTTGTGTTATATGTAGAGAATAAGTTCTTTAAGATATGTAGAGCTTTAAAAACTAAAGCCAATACTTTAAATTGTCAATCTTGCTATAAATCAGAAAACTACAAAAATGAGTGTGAACATAAAATATGCATACATTAACACCAAGCCAGAATTTGTAAAGCACTGAAGTTTTGGATATATTCCAATTCCTGGGAGATGTGAGATTAGATAGCTTGTTGACAGATTTTTCCACAATTGCTTTGTTTAGGTTTACCCTTGGCAACCATTGTATGCTTTTACCTTACTATTTTTAACATGCTGTTAGCTTACCAGAGTCAAATTTGTGAAATCCACCACCATATAAATTTATTTAATACACACATACATACATTTAGGCCCCACTGGTCAAACTGAAATTTCAATTAATCCCCCAATGAAAAGAAGCTGACACAACCTCCACAGACAGAGTTAACACGGTATCTCTCAGTATTCAATAGCAACTTCCTAATTTTGCTATGTGAACAATTTACACAAATACCTAAACCCAATTTACAATTAAAGTAAATTATCACTTGAATAAAATGATACTCCTGATGATAATGTGGACAGGTCCATGAAATTTTCTTGGCAGCAACATAGATTGCCACTGCTTTCCCCCCAAAAAAGGTTTACTTTCTCCCCTCCCCAATCTAGCCTGCAATTCTGGTTTTTTTCAGGTGGCCTTCTACCAAATACTAGACTGGTCCCATTTTACTTAGTTTATTCCCTTTTTTCCCAGTGCTCAAAGGATATACATGGGGGTTTTATTTTATTTATCCTTTCAGCAACAACCTTGTTAGATTGAGAAAGAGTGACAGGACTAAAATTGTTCAGTGTTTTTTCAAATGAATTTTCTCAGTCTTAACAACTTAACACCTATATTATATTACATAAAAATAATTATTTACAAACAAAATTTTATCCTATATGAGGAAAAGATCCTCTGAGAATCCATTCCTTATGAACAGATATGATGCCAATTCAGATCACAAGAGAAGCATCAGGAGGTGGCTAGAGTTGCCTCACCCAACAGATTTTGCACAGGGATTTGTTTCTAGGGTTTTTCTCAATCATTTTAATCCTTGGTAAAATCTTGAAGATCTACAGTATTCAGATTATACTTGCATGCATCCATTAATATACTGACTTTCTTCTAAGAAGTTCAAGGCAGCTTCACAATAACAACCCTATGACTCAAACAGCATGAGCCAGCTGAAAGTGGATGTAAACCTAGATGTCCCCAGATTTAAGCCTACATCTTAACTATAATATAGAAATCTATATTGTGGTGATCATCTGAGACCATCTCTAAAGGGCTCCATAAAACTGGACTGATTATAAGAATAAATTTCATATGACTCGCTTTAAATATTTGAAATTACTTTCCTGAACTTCAAGGTCACAGTTCTTTTCTTCTTATAATATGTATATAAAGTTATATGAATTTCAAAAGAACATAAAGGTTTATGCCCTAGTCAAGTAAAGTGTTCTTGAAAAGCGCTCAGTAGAAACTCCTTAATCTTCTTAGCTGACACACAGAGTTCATTAAATAACAGGGATGTCTAAGTATCTACACTATTGACATTTTGATGTGTGTATTCCTTATTCAGTATTAGTTCAAATGTTTTATATTTCAGTGAATTGATTAATTACAGAATTACAGGTGATGACTTTTCAAACTTTAAAAAAATAAGGTTAACTCCACTGCTTTAAAGAGCAAATTGTCAAAACTCAGAGCAATTAGGTTTTTAAAAGACAGTAGAAACACATTTTGAATTTTAAAAAATGTATATTGTGTAATGCAAAATTAAAACAACTCTCAATATAAGGATAAATATACATTAAAGCTATCTGCACTTCCCTGAGAGATTCAGGAAACAGTATGCCAAAGCAGTGATTGGAGCACCTTTCAGAATTGATATGTTCACAGTTCAGTGGCTTACTCCCTGCTGTCAGTCAAGACTCCATTAAAATAAATAACCACCTGATAATAAGGCAGGACAATTGTCTGCCTGGAGCCAATTTAAATTGAAAGTGATATTCTGAACCTAAACTATTAGGTCACTTTAGGAAGATATTTTTAAAAGCCCACAATGGACCCCTATTATTCCAAACATTTTGCTTCCAAATAATGCATAAACCTGATGCTGATTTATAAGTAAATGTGGCCTGAGAAAAAAATAAATCGTACTGTACCCCATTTTGGGAAAAGCAACAAATTAAGATTCACACCTAGAAAGATAGTGTTTTCTTTTCTCACCCACAAAGAAAAACTTAAACCTATTGCTAATTTCTAATCTAAGGCGTTACAATCATCTGATTGTAGCCACTGTCATACAAATTTGAAAAATATTCAAAACCCAACACTTCTGCCTCTTTAAAATGGGACCGATCAATGTTTTAAAATGAAAGGTATATTGTATTCAATTTGAAGGACAGGATAGGACAAGACAAGGGGATGAAACTGGTCAGCAGGAATTTTTGTGTCTCTAGTCAAAGACAGACATTTTATAAACAAGGGACAGAAAGCAGAAACAAGACTTGGAAATGAGTAACCAAATGGCTTATTGATGCAAAAAGGAAAACTAGCAAGATTCACACCTCGAAGAGGCTATCTAGGTCAAAATTGAACAGCCCCTCATTCAACAGAGGGGGAGGGATACTGCATCATCTATCTCAGTGATGGGATTCAAAAATGTTTACTACCAGTTCTGTACGTGTGGCGTGGCTTGGTGGGTGTGGCAGGGGAAGGATACTATAAAATCTCCATTCCCTCCCCACTCCAGCGGATAGATACTGCAAAACCCCTATTCCCTCCCGATCAGCTGGGACTCAGGAGACAGAGAATAGATGGGGGTGGGACCAGTCAGAGGTGGCATTTATTGGTTCTCCGAACTACTCAAAATGTCTGTTACCGGTTTTCCAGAACTGGTCAGAACCTGATGAATACCACCTCTGATCTATCTCCAGTCTACAACACAGTCCTTTCAATAGGTTCCACACCTATTTGCACTACTCAGGTGACATTGATGACACAGATAAACCTCCAGGTGGCCTTAATAACTTGCTAAAAGAATGTAAATGACCGGCTGTTTGCAAGGAGTATAAACACTCCCATTCCCCACCATACAGTCAGAGCAGAAGAAGTTTCTAGGATAAGAAGTGAAGTGAAGAAAAACCAGGAAGTCCAATTGCTTTAAAAAAAAAGCACCTTTGAGATTCACATCTTAGGACTTGTAATATACAAAGTGTTGTAATGGAATGACTTTGGAAGATTGGTGGTGTGTGTGTGTTATGCTGCCTAGGGAACAAAAGAGGAAGGAGTCCACTCTGCACTAGATAATGTGCAGAGAAAGAAATTTAGTTTCACCGAACCTATTCAGGCAATAAAAAGATGGTGGGAGAATTACGCTTTCAGACTTGCAAGATTTTATAACTGTAGTCTTACAATAAAGTAGTCTTCACTTATCTCCCCCCCCCCCCCGCTTTAGTCTAATTTAGATAGTAAATTACTGAATATATGGCTTCCTAATACTTGGCAATAAATCTACTTACCTAACATTTTAAGCCTGCTTTGTAATGTAACGTGGAGCAGGGTGGGGGGGACCTAATTGACATGCCTGCAATGAAGTCTTGCAATAAGTTTTGCCTTCCTGGCCCCTGGCTAGAGAAGAACAGCCTGTTCTCTACTCCAAAGATTAAGAAATGGGTATAGAATCTCTTACAAACTCACAGACTATAGTTTAAATCGCCAGTCCTTATTCCAGTATAAGAATGAAGTTGCAATGCAAAAG